GATAATATTGTCTGTTAGTGTTACTAAATACAAGATGAAGTAGTGAAGTAGCTATGTATATCATTCACTTGTCCACAAAATATCCCAAATAATGAATAAATACAGTTAATTGCGTCAGTAAATTCTCTAAATTGTTCCTGTATTTAACTATTATCAATAAAATGTTAAAACGGAGCTTTGATCGACTGATTCACCATTTTATACTAGTGAACTATTAAACTATCGTGATTTACACGATTTTTGCATATTTACCAGACGATGCCCTATGCACCGACCCGAGGTTAACGCCTAGAGGGCATGAGGAGAGTTGCTGGTGTTTCACCAGTCGTGCTGTGTGGTGTGTTTCTATATTTCATTAGGAATTTGGATAGTTTGGTCTGCGCGGAGCCAAGGTCTTCCTTCATTGAAGTCAAAGATTGTTTCATGGTTTGAATGAATCTTTCTGCTAAGCCGTTAGTGGCTGGATGATATGGTGCTGAAGTTACGTGTTTTTCTCTCCGTTTTTCTTTAGAAACAGCTGGAATTCTTCTGCAGTGAATTGAGAGCCATTATCGCTAACCAGTTGTTCTGGTAACCCATTTCGAGCAAACACTGTTCGCAGGGCTTCGACAGTTTTGGAGGTGGATGTTTTCGAGTGCATGATTATTACCTCTGGCCATTTTGAATGAGCGTCAACAATCACTAAAAACAACATTCCAAGGAATGGTCCTGCAAAATCGACATGAATACGTTGCCAGGGGGTAGATGGCCACTCCCATGGGTGTAATGGTGAGTATTTGGGGGCATGTTGAACCCGCTGGCAACCACTGCATCCTTTTGCGAGCCCTTCAATCTCCAAATCAATTCCTGGCCACCAAACATAACTTCTAGCCAGAGCTTTCATTCTAACCACACCAACATGACTTTCGTGCACTACTTGTAGTACTTCGCTTCGTAACTTTGTGGGAATAACAACTTTGCTCCCCCATATTGGTGCACAGTTAGTTCGTTTCTTCGAGAATAAAACGGTTGCAGGTTGGGGTCTTTATTTTCATGCCAGCCTTTCATGACATGCTCATATACTTGGGCGAGGGTAGAATCTCAGTGGGTTTCTTTGCGTACATGCTGGCAAGTGACAGGCAACATGTTGAACTGCGACACATGAAATGCCTCAACCGGGTCAACAGACGGATTTTCTTCCTCTTCAGTTGTCGCTAGAGGTAGACGGGACAATCCATCTGCTTTACAATGCTGTGTTGAACTACGGTGTTCAATCTCGTAGTCAAACCCTGAAAGGAATAGTGCATATCGTTGGAGTCGAGCAGCAGTCGTTAGTAGTAACCCCCCCCCCCCCTCTGGCGGCGGAAGTAATTAGTATGCAAACTTAGGTGTCGAAATTAATTAGTATGCAAAAAGTCTATGACGGCCCTTTGTTCGGCTAACACTCTGGCGGAATTTAAAATGAGCTTCCAAAACCTATGACATCAGGTAGCGCGACCAATTAACGCGGGCAAGCCTGGGCCAAGTGTGGCAGGCAACGCGATCAATTAGCATCACAATACAGCAACATCACTATAAATACAGCTAGTGTCCTTTCACCTGCATAGTCTGTATTCAACGCTCACGATGGAATGTTTTCACGGTAAACCAGCTGCTTGTTCTACAACTGCTCGTGGTACGTTTTGGTTTTGTGGCGAAACACCGA